TAAGTCATATTTCATTCGTTTCACTGCAAATGACGGTCTCCCTTTTATCTATTTTTTTTTTAAACCAACTCTTAAGACATCTCTCTCACCCAATTCTACCCGCAAATCTTCTTTCAAAGTCATTGCACTTTCCACCAGCCTTGGCCCCACCTCCTCCACTCGCCGCCCTTCCATCCTCCTAACGCAGAGAGATCCGACCAGCAAGTAGCGTCGCTAACAGCTCGAACATTTATACACCACTCAGGTGCATTCATTCTATTACCGCTACCTGTGTGGGTTCCACTCAGGTCCGATTTGATTGTAACCAATCAGCTTCCAGCAATCTTTTCCCCGCCCAACTTTCTGAGAAACTCGGTTTCAATTCAGGGCTGAGTCCCCTGCCTTTCTTCTCGTTTATTAGTCGATTGTATAGAGATGCGAAGCGTTAGGAAATAATACGCTTACTTACTCAGGGTCGGGAAGAGAAATAATGTTGAGGGATTTTAAAAAGTATTATTATGGTCTACTCTAGGCTTTCCTAGAATTAGAAAAAAAAGAGGAAACCCTCAGGAGTACTGTCTTTCCGATTAACAATTTTTTACTAAAAGGCATAAACTCTTGATTTTTTTTTTCATCGACTAACATGGCGTGTTTAATACGAATATGTTTAAAATAAAGAAGGAAAAGTAGATTCGATTATTTTCACTTCAATCTCTTCTCAGTCCACCATCTTTCTGCTTAGGCTACAGTACTATCACGCAGGAAAAGTCCCCACTTAGCGCCTCCCCCCCAAAAAAAAACAGTTTGAAAACCCTAATCCTTCATCTTTGTGAAGGAATAGTTCAACGATGCCTCAACCATTATCTGTTCAGCAAGTGAAGCCTTTTACCTTTTATCTGGAGATAAAAACAAGTAATAGAAAAAAAGTCAAATTTGGATACATCAGCTTTTCTCAACCTGGAACTCTCGAGGTTGTGTCAATGATCATAATTCCAAAGTTAAGATCACATTTTTGGGATTAGAGATCCAACACATCTGGAAGGCATGAGGTAAAAATACTGAGTTAAGGCAAAGTAACTAAAAGAAACATATTAAACCACTGATACCTTTAACTCCAATTGTAGTTTCATTCTTTATTGTGGTCCACAGGCTTCAACAATAGTTAATATTAGAGTATAATTAAGTTATTTTTATACAAGTCTTTTAACTGAATTCCAATTCCAGATGGTGAAATTATTATTTTGTGATGTCTCTGCTGCAGGCATGCACATAATTGTATCTATTTTATCTGATATGAATTTTGAAGTTCCAGATTCATCAAATAAATCTCTTGCAGTGAATTCTGCAGTTCACGTATGTTTCTCATATTATTGTTTCAGCCTCATGTTAGAAGGTGGGGAATACAGTGACTATTAGGAACTGCTGGATAAACCAAAGAATATCCCAACCAAGTGGATAGGATTGATTGGCAGGTTCACACAACACACCTGACTAAAATGGAATTGGATAGCTCAAGGTGTTGTAGGAATCCACTCCCTGACTTAGCATGATTTATCAGGCCATCATTATATGATTGGTTGGGGAATTCCTGTTATTTGAATACAATTATATTTTGTTTATAATTCAAATAAAGGATTAAGGGGATTGTGAGAATGTAGTATCAGACTTTGAATTGGGCAAAAGAAAATACAGTTTTTTTTAAAAATAGTAAGTCTTCAGGATAGGAAGCTTTAATTTTCATTTTACAGATGGGGAACTGAGGCTAAAAGACAGTTAACAAACAACAATCATCTGGTGATTCTGCTGTTGAAGTGGGATTTGAACTTAAATCAGTTGGGTGCAAAAATAAATTCCAACTTTCTACTTTATCTGGTTATAGCATTTTTCTCCAAATGAGTGCTGTATGTCTAAAACAAAACATATTTACGAAATAAATGTGAGTTCCACAGACTTTAATGACAAATAAGCACCAGTAGAGCTGCAGCTGAAATTTCTTTGCAATCCCATGCAAAATTCATCAATTTTAAGTTGACTTCTGAGCCCTCTAAAATATTATTCTGTGTTGGAAATGAGAGAGGCAGGAACATTTATAAATTGATATTTGTAGCAACAGTTCTTATGCTTGATTCCACTGCTCTCCTCTCAATAAAATCCATCCATTCATTCATTCCATTTCTGTAACCACCCATCCCAGTCAATGACTCTGGGTGGCTTGCAGTTCAAAAAAATATATTACAATCAAAATACTAAAAACATTTTAAAACAAAAAAAAATAGAAACATCCAAAATAAATATATATAGCAGCCAAGACACTTGGCCAATTAGCAATAGGCCCTTAACACATTTGGTGCCTCAGGCTCAGGAACATAGCAAGGATTTTAGGGCCTATGAAAGGCTAACAGGGTTGGGGCCATTTTAATCTCCGAAGGGAAGATGGTTCATAGAACAGGGGCCACTGAAGAAAAACTCCATCTTCTAGTCCCCATCAGCTGTCGCTCTTTGGGTGACAGGATCTGCTGCATGCTGCTCAACCTGGTTCCATAAGTAGAGACTCTTGGAAAAAGGTGATGCCTCAGGTACCCCAGTACAAACCATATAGGCCTTTAAAGCTAATCACTGCAACGTGAACCCAGAAACACCGGCAACCAATGCAGTTCACGCAGAAATGGTGTAATGTGTGCTACATATCTGGCATCATTTACTACCCATACAGCCGCATTCTGCACCAGTTAAAGTTTCTGAGTGATCTTCAGGAGCAGCCCCATATAGAGTGTGTTACAGTAGTCTAAACAGAAGTTATAAGGACATGAGGTACTGTGAGCAGGGCCTTGTGAACTCTCAAGCTTCCTCCTTCCGTTATATATTCAAGATGGACAGTATTTAATATTTATTTGTTCTGTATATGTAGGGATGTACATATATGTACATGTATATGTACTGTATATGTACTATGTACATATGTTGTATATAGTATGTTTAGGTGCGTGTCATGTATGTGTTTCACTTTGAGAGCGGGCAACTAAATTTCATTTTTGATGTGTGCCGTTGTGCCCACAGTAAAAAAAATGACAATAAAGGTTATCTTATTTCTTATGGTGCACCATCTGAAGATGTACAATGGCCCTCTTAGCCACAGCTGCCACTTGTTCTTTCAGCAGGTGCCATGAATCCATAAGGACCCCCAAATTGCGGAGCAGGTCTGTCTGGGGTACTGCAACCCCAGACAGTGTAGCCTGCAAAAGGAAAGTGGGCATGGCAAATACCTCAGAAGGGACCCTCCCTAAGTCCTTGAGAGGTAAATGCAGGGGAGAAATATACTTTCAGACTTGTATGATTCCATTAATGTAACCTTACAATAAAGTAGAATCAGTTCATTCAGGCATGCTTCCTGCTTGGACTACCTTGCAAGCACCATTTTCCATCATTCTTGAGGATAGCAATAGTTTATGGGGTTTGAAACATCACTACGGGCTCCCATTATTGATCTACAGTAAATTATCTTGTTCAAGCTCGGCACCTTTGTCTTAGGCCAAACCTCCACGAGCCTCAGCCAGCATAGTAATCAGTCAGGATTGATAGGGACTTGTCAGTATAACTGGCTTGAGGTGATTCTCAGCAGCTTCTTGGGATCTCAAGCAGAAGTCTCTCTCCATCTAGAGATCAACTTTGGGACAATCTGCATGCAGCACAAATGCTGCCATGCAGAAGAGGAATCTGGTTTCAGATTTCCTTCCTTGCCTTGCAATAAGATGCTACCAGAAAGAGGACACTGAGTCTCAAAGCTCTCCAACTTTAGGCAGGCTAAATGCTTCAGGTGTGTTTTCTGCAGCTTCTTCAGATTGTGGTGCAACGCCAGGTAAACTTTGGATGCCTTAACAAGGTAGCTGGGACATCTTGCCTGTAAGTAAATGGCTCCTCATGTACAGCACCAGCACCCTATTTCTGGTATGCTTCCCCTTAATCCAGTGGTTCTCAACCTGTGGGTCGGGAACCCATTTGAGGTCGATCGACCATTTCACGGGGGTCGCCAAGCAAGGCTGTCCGCCATTTTTTTTGTCCGCCATTTTTTCCCCCTTTTCCGGCGGGTGCCTTACCTCCCTTGGGCTGGGCCAGCTGGTGGTTGGCCTGCTCTGTCTCTGCCGCTTGCCAGCTACGCCTCGGCTGGTGCAGGGGGCGGAACCACGCATGCGCGGCGCTCCCGGGCAGGGAAAGTCCTCGACTTACGACCAGCTGGGTAGTCCTCAACTTACGACCGGTTTAGTCCTCGACTTACGACCGGTTTAGTCCTCAACTTACGACCGGTTTAGTCCTCGACTTACGACCGGTTGGGGTCGCGGCATTAAAAAGGTTGAGAACCACTGCCTTAATCATATTCATTAGGTAAAGAAGGAGCTTATAGCTTTTGTCAGCTGGCTGCTGCCTTAAACTTTCCCCCCACCAAATTATGGTAATAAGCCAGTTCAAAACATCAGTAAAAGCAGCAGTACTCTCTCAATAGAAAGAGGGCTTATCTGTAGCTCTGGGTTGAACTGTGGCGTTCTTGGTGTTCTCCGAGCGTGGGTGTTTGCTTGCAGACATTTCATTACCCAACTAGGTTAAAAAAACATAGGTAACATCACAGGTTTGTTTGCAGACCTTTCACTATCCAACTATCATCGATGAAGTTACCTAGTTGGGTTAGGAAAGGTCCATAAGCAAGGACTAAGCTCAGAGAGCGCCAAGGACTCTAACAACAGAGTTCTATCACTTCAGAAGGGAGAAGATCCAGGGATTATTGCAACTCTTGAGCATGCCTCATATCAAAAGCTCCAGACCCGTGTAAACCTCCCTCAGAAGAACATAAATATGGCTTCCTTCTCTTTTAGGATAGCAACTACACGTAGGTTTCCATTCCAACCAGTGCAAACTAGCAATCCTTGGCTCCCATGGGACAAAATTAGCACTCTGCCCAATTTGTCGAGTGAGGGGGGAAAATCATTGCTTCTTCCAGCCCATCCACCCCACAAAATTGTCTTGAGCTGCTAGGATATTGGGGGAGGTGGCGGCCATCCCTCTTGCGGGTAAGGGGATGCCCATCTACAGCTGTTTTCCCCTAACCTCCATGGATCTGGAGGTAAAAATCCCTTCCCACCCCAGCTCCGCAGTCCTCCCGCTGAGACAGCGTTGGGGATGAAGCCCTGGAAAGGCGGTGGGGCCTCGGGCCAGGTGGGGATGCTGTTCCTGTCCCCCTCACTCCACCAGGAGGGCATGAGAGAAAGAGGAGGGTCAGGAACAACGGGAAGCAGCCCTTTGGGGTGCTTAGTCTCGGTTGAAACAGAGGTGTCCTTCTGGCCTTCAGGTTGTCCTTTGGGGAGCCCCTCTGCCGCATGAGTGTGCTGATGGCGGTTGCGGTGCGAGCTGCGGCTGAAACACTTCCCACACTCCGAGCACGGGTAGGGCTTCTCGCCCGTGTGGACCCTCAGGTGCCGCTCCAGGTGGGAGACGAAGCCAAAGCTCTTTCCGCAGACGGTGCAGTCGTAAGGTTTCTCGCCCCGGTGAGCCCGCTGGTGCGTGAGCAGCTGTGCCCCGGCCACAAATCGCTTCCCACACTCCTTGCACTTGTGAGGCTTCCCGCTCGAGTGTGTCCGTTGGTGCTGCAAGAGCGTGGAGCTGACGCTGAAGCTCTTCCCACATTCACCGCAGTGGTAGGGTTTCTCTCCCGTGTGGATTCTCTGGTGGCGGTCCAGGTGGGAACTGACGCTGAAGCACTTCCCACAGTCACCACACTGGTAGGGCTTCTCCCCCGTGTGGATCCGCTGGTGTCTTTCCAGGTGGGAGCTCCAGCTGAAACTTTTCCCACAGTCAGGGCACCGATAACGCTTGCTCCCGGGCACGTGGGATTTCTGGTGCTTGACTAAGGAGGCCAGTTCCCTGTAGGTTTTCCCACATTCGGCACACTTGTGGGGCCGGTCGGGAGCGTGCACACGCTGGTGCCTTTCCAAATGGGAGCTGACGCTGAATGTTTTCCCACAGTCTCCACACTGAAAGGGCCTCTCTCCTGTGTGGGTCCGCTTGTGCTTGATCAGGGCCGAGCACCAGCTGAAGTTCTTCCCACACTCCAGACACTGATATGGCTTCTCTCCAGTGTGGATCCGCTGGTGCTTCACCAGAGACGAACTCTGGCCAAATCCTTTCCCACAGTCGGAGCATTTAAAGGGCTTCTCGGTAGACATTGGCAGGGAGGAAGGAGGTGGAGGTGGCTGCGGGACCACCCTCTTCCGGTTACATTCTGTGCATTTGGTGGGGTCCCTACTCCGGGCTGGAGATTCCTGGAGGTGGTGGAGGGTGGCCGCACTGAGGTAGTAGCTTTTGCCACAATCTGTACACTGGTGTGGCTTCTCCCCCGTATGGATTCTCTGGTGCCTGTAAAGGTGGGAACTGCGGCTGAAACGCTTCCCACAGTCGGGGCACTCGTAGGGCCTCTCTCCCGTGTGGATCCGCTGGTGTCTCTCTAGGTGAGAGGTGAAGCTGAAACTTTTCCCGCAATCGGGGCACTCGTAGGGCTTCTGTCCCAGATGTTTCCTCTGGTGAGCCACCAAGTTGGCCCCGAGTGCGAAGCCCTTCCCACAGTCCTCACACTGGTAGGGCTTGTCGTTGGCGTGAATCCTCTGGTGCTGGACCAGGGTGGAGCTAACACTGAAACTCTTCCCACACTCTTTGCACTGATACGGCTTCTCCCCGGTGTGGATACGCCGATGCCTCTCCAGGTGTGATCCAACACTGAAGGCCTTGCCGCACTCCTTGCATTGGAAGGGTTTCTCTCCGGTGTGGATCCGCCGGTGCCTCTCCAGGTGCGAGGTCCAGCTGAAGCTTTTCCCGCATTCCTCACACTTGTACGGTTTGTCACTTGCGTGGCCTTTCTGGTGCGTGGCCAGGGCCTCGGCCTCAGAGAAACTTTTATCACACTGGTCACACCTGTGGGGTCTTTTGTCCAGATGCAGCTTCTGGTGGCGGAGAAGATTGGACTTCTGGCTGAAGTTTTTGCCACACTCTGTGCATTGGTGGTTCTTGCCATGTGCTGGTGGTTTTCTAAGGGACACCTGAGAATCGGAAGCCACCATGGTCTGTGGGAGGGGTTTGTCTTGCTGCTCCTTTCCTTCGGTTAGGGAGCCCCTCGGCTCAGTCCCTGATGGTTGGTTCTCGGCCTCCATTGGATTCCTCTCTAGGACATCCCCCTTTTGTAGATTTGTTTTGCTAGGAATTACTTCCGGAGGAATAGGTTCATTCCTTCCTCTCAATCTTTCCCCTGAGGAGATAAATATTGCAGAGATGACTTGAAAGCCATCCTTTCCCAGAAGCCATTAAATAGAAGGTTGCTATAACCTTATTTCAACATGTATTTGCATTAAACATTTTATATTTTCACCTTACGTTCTATGTGTATCAGCAAAGCCTACGCTAAGTTGGTAACATGTTGGCAACAATTGTCTTGGTTTGCAAGACACACTCTTGATTAAAGAGCCTATCTTTGGTAGTATATATGAGCAAACTTGAGATAAAATGTCCCTGTTGTTGCCTCTCTGACATACAGGCAAAATCTGCTAAAACTGACCGGTACAGGTAGTCCTTGACTTATGACCACAATTGAGCCCAAAATTTCTGTTGCTAAGTGAGACATTTGTTAAATGAGTTTTGCCCTATTTTACAACCTTTCTTGCCTCAGCTTGTTGAGTGAATCACTGCAGTTGATAAGTTAGTCACTCAGTTGTTAAGTGAATCTGGCCTCCGCACTGATTTTGCTTGCGAGAAGGTCCCAAAAGGGGATCACATGACCCCGGGACGCTGCAACGGTCATAAATGTGAACCAGCTGCCAAGCATCTCAATTTTGATCACGTGATCCTGGGGATGTTGCAACAGTCGTAACTCTGAAAAACGGCCATAAGTCACTTTTTTCAGTGCCGTTGTAACTTTGAACGGTCACTAAATGAACTGTTGTAAGTTGAGGACTACCTATATGGGATCACGTTGTCGATTTGGAGACTGAAAAGTTGGTATTTTTCCATGGCACTTCTTTCACTTATCAGAAGACAAGCTCTGAAGAACATGCTTGCTCATAACTTTGAAAACATTTTTATTAAACTTGATGAACTCTGTTTATTGTTATTTGGAAC